GCTAATCTCTCTCTACTCAACAGGTGTTAAGGACCCTCTATCCTTTTTAATGGTGTTGACATTCCCTTATGCAAACTATCCTTTCTTCTTCAATTTTACTGTCTGTTAGCCATTCCTGGTAACTCAGGTGTGGTAATATTAACTCAAGTGTAGAAATAACTGACAGTGAAATATTGGAGGCGCTGTGAAGATGCTCAAGAAGACTAGATTTTTTTATAAATCTGAATGAGACATTTAACCGTAACAACTAAAGAACTAATGAAACAATATCTATTGACTATTTTTGCCTAGTTTGTTGTATTTTTTAAATCTAGTATATTACCATTCCAATAGTTATAGTTGTTTTTGCTTTAATCTTAAACTGAACGATATAGTGCTAACCCCCACACATGTCAGTAAAACAGTTAGTTTTTTAACTGGAGAAAAATGTGTTATATGTGATGATGAACCCTTTTCAAAATCCTAGATCCACCCATGCCTGTTAAAAGGACTCTTTATATCATTTACATTCAGCAGTTATTGGTTAAAAAAAGAAATAATCCTGGCAGCAGGGACCAGTATCCAAGATTTCTCAACCCAGGGGAGTCCCTCATCAGTGGCTTGCAGTAATTCCCTGAGGTCTCCAAAATAAAATCTGTAAATATATGAGATTACATTAAATTGAAAAGATTCTGAAAGAAGGGGTAACCTGCTTTATTAATCCCAAGTGAGTGCTAACACAGCTGCCACTGGTGTCATTTTAAATATCAACATTATTAATCTTTTCTCCCTATTCATCCATGCAAGCAAGGAAAGAAAGAAAGAAAGATATTATTATCAAGATCATGGAGTCTATACCAGAGGTGATCAAGATATGGCCCACAGACCAGATCCAGACCATGCAGCCATGTCATCTGGTTCATGGGACTCCTCACAAGTCCAGAAATTTTGCAGTGTTGTGAGCCATGACAGAATTCATTGCTACAGCTCCTGGAGCCACAGCATTGAATGCTGCCACTGCTCATCCTGCCACCAAATTTCTGGACTCATGGGCCAGATCAGGAGCATGGAGCCATGTTATTCAGCCCATAGGCCTGTCTCTGGGGTGGCAGAAGTGGCAGCAATTAACACTGCTGCCACCAAATTCCATCCTCATTGGCCAGATGATACAGCTTTATGCTCTGGATCCAGCCTGAGGATATGCAGACCTGAATGAGTTGAGCACCATTGGTCTACACCGGGGCGGGCAATTATTTCAGGCAGAGCGCAGCTTACTGAGTTTTGGCAAGCCATTGAGGGCTGGATGACAGGCAGACAGGGGCAGATAAATATTGATTTTCTAAATTTTTTAGAGGCCTCGCAGGTTGGATAGAATGGCCTGGAGGGCCACATGTGGCCCATGGGCTGCATTTTGCCCACCCCTGGTCTACACTAACCAGCAGCTCATTTTGGCAGCAAATTTGGCAGTATGAGTGAGTGACTGTAACAGGGGCCAAGCCCCTGTTACAGAGAATACATGGAGAAGACCAGAAAATTGGCCTGGTCCCTTTTTAGACCAGGGCCTTTTGGACCAGCAAGGGCGAGGTGGAGCTGAGTGGGTGCAGATGACAGGGGGAAGTGCCCTGGAGGGATAAAACTCACCCTGCAAAGAGGTGTGGGGGCAGAAAGGTCTGACTGAAGAGATAGCTGGATGGCCCATTTAGAGGAGAGTAGACCCTGCCAGCTCCTGTAAGTCCTGTTGGAAGGGGGAGAAGTTTTGCTGGAGTTTTCTTTTGCTGCTGGTTTGATGAACTGTGTGTTGATCCTTGCAATAAGACTGTGTCCATCATCCCAAGGTGGGGAAGAAGTTTATGTTAGGTACCCTCCTTCCTTCCTTCCTTTCATTTGACAGACACCTGCTGGACTGAAAGTGACTGTAAGGGGAGATGTGGAGGCTGCAAAACAGCATGTGGCAGTGCCCTGCCTAACCTAGTTCCCAGGAGGAAGGGGTTAGTTGCAGGAAACAGTCTGACGGCCTGCTGCAGTAGTGCAAGACCTTTAAGTAAGGTGGCTGCAAAGCCCAAAGTCTCAGGTTCCAGCTCCAGAGAAGTGAAAACCCTGCAGCAGCCCAGAGCCTGAAGCCATGAACTGAGTCAGAGACTGAGGAGCCAGGCTACAAAACAGAAGGAGGATACTGGTGAAGCAACAGCCTAACCAGGAAACCCAGGATGCCACCTAACACTGGGAGCCCTGATGGGTGACAAGATCTGGCCTCAAGAGTCCTCCCCTCTTCTGCTTCAAATAGTGGTAAGGCAGCTCACATATTAACTCTCTCCCCAAAAAGGTGTGGCAGGCCTGGAGTCTAGGAGGACTCTGAGTAGGATGGGAAGGCAGGATGGATGGAGGGATCCCCTTTTCCCTTGGGTCCTGCCACAGTAACCTAAAGACATTTCTCACTAATACTTTCTTGCTTAGTCGAAGAGAATCCAAGCCCCTGCAGATCATTTGAGGCCCACAAAAAGAAAAAGCCTGAGAAGCCCAGAAAACAGCCCAGGCTTGTAGAATTTGTGGACCGTGCACAATTAATTTTATGTTGAACATCAGCACAAATGGGTGGATCTTACAAGAATAACACCATCTACCATTTTTCCCTCAAAACCTGCTGCTACATGGCCGTGGCAAGATCTCTACTATAACATACTGCATTCGGTTCTCGTATTGATACTTTATAAAGAATGTCAAAAGTGGAAAAGGTTAAAAAGAGTCACAAGAATGAGTCAGGGTCTAGAAACCACATCTTACAATGAAGACTTAATAACCCAATCTATATATCTAACTGAAAAAAGTGAAGAGGTTCTTTGACATGACCTCTAAGTACCTATGCAAATGACTTTTAAATAAAAAGAGATGCTTTTTAATCTACGGGACAATACACAACAAGGTACAACAGCTGAAAGCCGAAGAAAGAAAAATCCCAACTTGAAATAAAGCAGGCCTTTTTTCAACAATAAAGGTAATTCTCAACCATTAGATCCTTCCCAAGGGAGAGAGGGCAGACACCCTAAAATTTGTAGGAGACAAAAGGGCCTTACCTTTCCTATCTAGCTGGTCTCCGGTCACCATTCCTTATGGCCCATTAACCACTGCTCCTTCTGCATGTCTCTCTAGCTACCCTTAAAAAACAAGTTTTCCCAAAGTGTGGAAGGGAAAACTAGATAATTCAGTTTCAAACTTGTGCTGGTGTCTACATTTGATTAGGAAACAGAGTCTGGGCGCAAAAAAACAGCCAGTTCCACTGCCCACTGTTCCCTCCAACTTCAGAGTTGGGTTATCTGAGATCCCTCAACGATTACTTTTGTGAATTGTGAAGTAAAGGAGGGAGTATGTCGCAGAGATGGAACTCCCCTAAAATGGGCCTTTGGAAATCAGGAGAGCAGAGGAAATGAATTTATATTTTTATAGGTTAAAAATTCATAGCCCTGGGGCAACCCAGTGCACCATGATGGATTAAAGTCCACTCAAAGTTTGTTCCTATGAGGGTACAGAGACATATGTTACATTCTGGGGAAAAGCTAATATTTTGCACTGTGAACACCTGTGAGTCTCACTAAAAGAAGGGTTCACAGGTATTGATATCCCTAGAGGGTGTCTTATCTCTCTCATAAACATGGGGGATTACCATTAGTGATTCGAACTAATAAGAGGAATTAACAGTGGGGAAAGCAGTTGTGGAAGGAGCTATCTCCTCCCATACAGAAAGACAATAACTGCATTAACAAGGGGGCAAGCTATTGTGCCTTAATAAATGGTAGTGGTAGAATTCTATCCAGAGGCTTGATAACATTATCTATTAGAAGACATATTCTTTCTTTCTTTCTTTCTTTCTCTATTCCCTCCCTGACAGAATTTTGCCATCTTGCATGGTTGACTATTTGGGATACTTTTAGAGGCAATTTTCTTTCTTCGTACCAAGAGAAATTATAGGTTAAGATAAATTACTGGGTGTAAGTGTCTGAAGCCTAACTCATGTCAGGCCTTTCCACTGCATCACTGCTACAATATTAGGTTGGAATTATTTGGTCTATTTACATTCTGTAGCATAGAATATACAGCAAAGTGTTGTACTCTGTATCCATGCTAGCATGAGCAACCATATGCTGTGCCACTCAATAATACATACAGAGGCTTTATGCTGTCTGCTGACCCATGGGGATTCCCAGGAACAGAAGGCCATAACTATAACAACATCATACTGAGAAATGTATTTAAACTCACTACTCATAGGGAAAAGGGTTCTCTCATCCTAAACTCTCCCTGTTGTGCAAAGAGTTATTTTCCAAACAGAAGTCTCATTCTCCTGGCTTTGGTGGATTTTAGAAAGCTTGCAGTTGCTCTTATTACACGGGAAATCAAGCACAGGGAACTATTTTTGCTTTAACCTCTCCAGGGCTGCAACACAAACGAGTTGTTGGAAGAATCACTCCATCTCCTCCCCACCACACCCAGCGGAGCAGATGGCACCTGTTCTGATGGGGTGGGCACATGAATAGACCTTGCTGTGGACTCGGATGGGAACAGGGGACACCGTGCTGAAAACAATGACGGGTTAATAATACCCTCCCCACACCCCAGTTTGATCAGCGGGCCAGAGAGAGATGGACTTTAGAGCTGGAAATGCCCTGACCCATCCCTCTGCGGGTGAAGAAAACAGGACGTGTCCAGCTTGATCCCCCACCCCAGGCGCTGCAGGGATGCAGGAGCCCCCCGAGAGCCTGGCCAGAGCTGGGTCCAATCATCCTTCCCCACCAGACGCCACCGCAGCGAGGTCCCGAGCTTTCCCCAGGCGGGGGTGGCTGCCTGCTTCTGGCTCTCCCTCCCCGCTGGCTAGATGCTCTCATACAACCAAGGGGATGATCAAAGGGAGAGATCAGGTTTCAGCTCCTTTCCTCCAGGACCTGCTGCCACTGCAACACGCATCCTCCCTGGTCTCGGAGCCCTGCATCCCCGGCGCGCCAGCATCCTTGCCCCCGCCCGGGCTTTACCTGGCCGTGCCGCCGGGCACCTGCAGAAGGAGCTTCGGGCCGCTGGGGCCGGGGCTGCAGGGAGGAGGGGGAAAGAGCCCGGTGCTCACGGAGCAGCTGGATCCCAAATGGCTGCTGCTGCTGTGTGGTGCCTGCGACTGCAGCCGGATCTCTGCCGCGGTGCGGGAATGTGCTGTCTCACGCTGGACAGGCTCCTCCCGAGCAGAGCCGCTCCCCTCCTCCTCCTCGCCCCTGGCACTGACATCTCTGCCCTTCCCGCCTCCCCCCCCCCCGCGCCCCCCCCCCCGG